TTTGAATTTTGATGTGAAACGATTATAATAATCCAATGCCGACACAATGAACTATCCTTTTCAACAATCAATAATTTTAAGAGATTATAAAAGAAACTACCTGCTTAATTGATCTATTCTACTCCGAATAGCAGAGAGTACGTTTATAGACACACTGTGATCTAATGAGTCAATTCGAATATGTCTAGGTGACACAAGTTTAGATCTTTTACTTAATTTGGCATGTAATCGACATTCATTCTTGTTTTGTTTGTTTTTTCTCCTTTCAAACTTCGAAATTTTAATAGATAACATTAAGCATATTATGAATCTCTTAGTCTTATGAACAGTAATTCCGTTTGCTGACCGCTTATAATTACAGTGATAATTATTTCTCAGTGGAATTTATCATTTAGTGATTTTAGATTGGATTAGATGACGTAAGACAATATGCTTAAGTTACGTAATTTATGCATTATTTTTTCTGATATATAATTTTAAAATGTTTTGGTGTTCAATAGACATTTTGGAACACTAGACAACTGCATACCTTCGAAGTGGAGTTACGAAAGGAATACTCTTTGTTAACCTGTTTTGTATATTTACATCACAAGGGTATTTCACCATACTTCAAGAGAGATTCGTGTACATGTACCTGCATAATAATAATAATAATGACTTAATTCAATTTTGATATTTTCCCGTCGATTGACTGGACAGAATTGCTCGGTCTCAGGTTGACATGTCGGCTTCTTGTGCAGATGCTTCAATGATGTCTGGTCATGTAATCAGAAGACGATTGATGTATGGTGACTACCAGTGGAATCCAGGATGCGCATTTCGTCCTATTTGGAACCCGTCATATGGATGTACCTGCATTCCACAGTGAGTGATGATGTTCCCACTGAGGATCGAACCCAGTGTCCATAATTTCAGGCCCCAAAGCGTTATCCACTAGACCACTTGTGTTCGAGCCTCAGTGGGAACATCACCACTCACTGCAGAATGCAGGTACATCCATATGACGGGTACCAAATAGGACGAAATGCGCATCCTAGATTCCACTGCTAGTCACCATCCACCAATTAAATACTAACTACTGTTGAACATCTCACCACAATAATATAATACACGGTAAAATCTGTTTTCACTGAATGAAACATTCCTAGATTAGAAATGGATATTAAATTGCGAACTCAGTTATAATGATTGTGAAAACTGCTATCAGTATAGGCAACATAAGAAGTTTTCACAAAATTAATAGTTAGAAACCAATTATCCGGTATCCGGTCACAAACCGCATACTTACTATGTGAGGATCGATAATACCACCTTCCAGCTACCCAGAGTGAGGCAGACTAGAGCCCGGAGTCTATTGGCTGAAGGTCAAGTGAGTGAAATTTCCACCTAGAAATAATTAGTTTTAGTGGAGAACTTGTAAAATGCTTGTCAGTCACGCTGGTGGTTCGAGTTAGACTCTCGGACGACACATCCCTGAATCTCGCCTGATCTACTAAGCGGTAGTGAGACATAAAAGTGCGGAAGGTTGGACATGAAGATAGCAACCTCATTCCTTAAAACAACACCACTAATAACTGAAGCCCTCTGATTCATTCAGAACATAGAGGAGTGAGAAAGGCGAAGAACTTTATGGAGGTAAAGATGCTGATGCTCTATCTATCACATGGTAGTGACTAGATTTAAGGGGACCAGTTAAAAAATGTAGCCATATTAAGCAAAGTAACATGATATTTTATTATACAGTGATTAGCGTAGTCACACATCTAAACAATACGCGTAGGAAACCAAGAAGGATTTAGCAGTGACTCTTCAAATAACTTTCTACTGAGGATCGCTTAGTTTGCGATCCGAAAGATATTATTGTGCACAGTTTAGAATCAGTAACTCTAGATGCAAATGTAGGTATATCATAGATGGAGAGTATACAGACCTATAAAGTAGCTTGCAAAAGTCCCCCAATCGACAACACCCCCCCCCAAAAAAAGGAGGTATTAGGAAAGACAAGCATTTTTGTCAGCTGTGGACTTGTGATTTATACTTGTACTGACTGACATGATAACCTTTTTAGACAATTGTGATCCTTTTATCTATGCCTTAATCCTCTGAAGGATTTCAATATCATACAACAAGTAAGATTTGTTTTATTTATGGCTTAAATTTCTGAAAGTTTGTAAATATGCCATGTGTATTGTGTTTAGTAAAGGTTGCTGCCGTTTTGGTCGTCGTGTCAATTTCAGTGTAGGAGATAATCTCAAGTGATTAGTTAGTTATAGTGTCATATTGTAGAGTCGTATTCTAACCAAGTTACATGAATCCACAACCCAGTATCACTGTCATACACAAGGTATTGTTTCAGGCTTTATAAAATATTACAATAATCTGTTAGATATCTCAGGTAACACAACTAAAAAAGCAATGCCACTGTATTCACTCTCCAACGGATAAAATATATATTCAAGTGTTGGTTTGTAGGTGTTTGATTAGTGACAGGATTTCATCATGAGCTGACATTAGTTAGACAGCCATTGGAAAACCTGGGAGTACTGGACAGATGTTTTGTCCTAGTTTGGGACTCCGTGGGTGCGTACTGCTGAACGGTCCCAAACTAGGACAAAACAGTTGTCCAGTACTCCCAGGTTTTCCAATGCTTCCCTAACCAATGTCAGCTCATGATGAAATCCTGTAACTGATAAAATATAGTTGGTATATTACCGGCTACATTGTTTTTCTTATGCATGGTAAAGTAGGATAACGTTAAACGATTGATTCTTAAACGAATATGCATATTTCATACATTTATTCCCCTTAATGAATTTGAACAAAGCAAGAACTACAGTTTTAGCAGAATAAAATGGCACCATCTTTTATTTCGTTGCCTTCTCGTCAGCTGCTTACATGGCAAAGACATTATATATATATACCTCCAACTGTGTATACAAATTTACATGTATCTGCGGGAGCAGTTACTGTCTGTCTGTCTGGATTCAACATAGAACTTGGCACCGAAGTGCACCAGTTCGAGTTGCCACGTTCCAAATAGCACACAGAGGTAGACAAGAAGATGAGTGAAGAGAATTAATAGAGTTTGACAAATATAGGAGTGGAACAGAATGGGTAATGGTAGAAAGGAATATGAAAGATTACAGAGATTGAATACATCTGCGCTGGCCATTGACAACGATTTTGAGCCATGTCACCTATTGTCTCCAGCCATTGATTCCTAGAGTCCCGAGGGCCCCAACCCGGGAGTCTGCATCTCCCTACCTGACTCAGTTTAACTGTCAAGGATTTCATGGATTGATGCCATGTTTTTGTTTGGCCACCACTGGCTCTTTTCCAACCTGAACCTATATCAGCTAACAATGCCCGTCGGGGGAGGCGGTGGTTAGGCATGCGCACCACGTGACCTAGCCATCTTAGTCTATGTAACTTTATAACCTCGTCGATTGATTTTCCCTCTTTGCCCAACACTCTACGCCTAACGTCAACATTACTTATCTTGTGAAACCACCTAACGTGAGACAGAGATCGCAGACATCTATGATCGAAAGCAGTCAACCTTTTCATGTCTTCAACGCGTATTGGCCATGTTTCAGAGCCATAGAGAAGGACGGAGCGAACTGATGAGCAGTACACACGTCCCTTGGTTGATAACCGGATGTCACGCCTACGCCAGAGATGGTGTAAGTCAGCGAAAGCAGCTCGAGCTTTTCGGATCCGTGCTGAGATTTCATCGCCAATCAGTCCGTTGGTGCTAATACAACTTCCCAAGTAGGTGAAGTGGTCAACATGTTCTATCACTTCACTCCCTATCACTAAGTTAGGGGTTGACGTCGTCCAGTCCTGTAGCAGCATCTTACATTTTGCAGGGGCGAATCGCATGCCAAACATACGAAGATTGCTGCTCAAGGTGTTCAGAAGACTCTGCATTTTGTCAGCATCCTCCCCTAACAGGACTATGTCATCTGCATATTCTAAGTCCATTAGATTATTCCCTGGTAACAAGTCGATTTCTAAGTCGTTACGTTCAGTTAAGGATACTTCCATTAGCATATCTATGATGAAGTTAAACAGAAATGGGGAAAGTGGACATCCCTGTCGGACACCACTGGTTGTTGGAGCAGTTACATTGGAAGGATAGAAAGAAGAGCATATCTACGATTTTCTGAACATGCACCAAAAAGCTTATGTCTAAAGGGAACAAATGCTTTAAATAGTGTCATCGCCAGGCATCTCCTTGACACGGGTCATGAGGTGGACGCCGAAAAGTCGTTCAAAATTATCGATAGGCAAAATAGCTCAATTCTCCTTAAGTTTGCTGAAGCCATTTCCATCAAGCGCCTGAAACCTGATTTATGCGTCCAGAAAGAAGCGGTTATCAGTCTTTCTTTGCCCTGGTAACTGGATAATTTCACCTCTCTTTCCTCCGAATGTGAAATGCTAAAAGTTTCCATTGTGTTTGATTATTATTGTTCGGAATAGTGGTTAATATTGCATATTTATATATGTATATATTTTTAGTGTATGCTTATATTGATCGATTGACTGATTTTTGTTTAAAATGAACTCTGTGCAAGTATGTCAAAATTGTTTTCGTAGACATATTTAATAATGTCTTTGCCATGTAAGCAGCTGACGAGAAGGCAACGAAATAAAAGATGGTACCAGTTTATTCTGCTAAAACTATAGTTCTTGCTTTGTTCAAATATGCACATTGATATCATCGTTTGTCTATTTTTAGTAGTAAACGAAACAGATGCAAATATTAGGAGAGATAGCTTCAATTCTCCTTGTTAACTATTAGTAAGTAAACTAATTGATGTGATCATTCATTCACATTAAATGCGTTAGTACCAGAAAATGTTTAACCATTATGCTTATTAAAAATAAAAAAAACGAAATTTAATTGTCGGTATTCGCCAGCAAACTACTATTAATGCTTGTTAATTATCAACTATCACATAAGAAATGCAATATACAAATTAGTTGTAGAAACTTACCGCTTGAAGGAATTCCCCTCCAGCGTTAACTTTTTCCCAAACAGCTTTAGAAATACGTTCCAGCACAGTAGGTACACTGGCAAAAAGAGTCGGTCGTAGTAGGGTAACATCACCGACACAGTAATCCCGTTTGATACGTGAAGATGTGTCTGTCAACGTTTGTGGGTTTGAATAACCGATCTGCAGGTGAAAAGAGTAAGATAACAGTGTAAGTGAACAGTTATTTACTGGGTAGTTCAACGGCAGAATGTTCGGCAATCACGCAGGTGAGGTTCAGGCTCGATCCACGGCTGACACACTCCTAAACCTCGCTAAGCTAATAGTAAACCCGGTAAAGCGGGAAGGTCGGGAGTGAATGAAGCCCTGCATTCCCATTCAGAATGCATAAGAATGAAATAATATGGGGACAGAAATAGAAGCTTTATGTGTAAAACAAAAGTAGTTCAACGAAAGAATACGAGGAAAAAGACGAACAGTTAAGCGGGTACTGTCAGATTGTGATGCACTTCTTCTTAATTTATTAGTACCTAGAGTACTTGTCACAAAATAAAACAAAAAATGGATCAGATTAAAGAAGCTCTTTAGGATACCACTTCTCACAGAAAAAAGATGCTGAAATTATAGAATAGTGAGTAACCCCTGGTATAATTCACAGAGGTGCAGGCAAGATTAAGGGGAAAGTTAAACAAGGAATACACATACAAATTCTGACAAGAACACCATTATGCACAGCTGAAAATGTCTTAACCCTTCATGAGATGAATTTAGGTATCTTTGGGACGATGAATTTTTGTGGGACAGAAATCCTTCTGGGCTTGAATTTCCTATCACCCCATTGAGCCTTGTCAATAAGAAGAATGAAAACTCAGTCAGTCAGTTTCAGATTTATAAGTGAAAGTTACAGAACAACAGATATTCTCCTTAAAATAAAGATAACGAAGTACCGTCAAGCCAGTATACTGCACTAGAAATACAAAAGACAATTGAACTTACCCTGACACCCATAATGACACAGCACAATTCACAGGTCAGCTCCAGTACATGGGCTAACGGTAGATAACCAATATATATGTCGTAGTTACTACGAAGTTTTGGTAAACGTTGTAGGTGGCCAGCTATAGCACTGACTAAGTTCTCATGAGTCATTTCAACACCTTTTGGTTGACCTGTATAGATAAGGAGAAGTGAAATAAAAGGAAGTTAACTTTGAAATTCCACACTCATTCATAGCAATAACTCAATCGATTTAACGTGTAAAACATTTTAGTACGGTAGTATTGAAAGTAATTGCCAAAGTTTGAGTCAACTTCTGATTATTACATCTGAGAAACTTTAGAAAACTACGTACGGACATCAATGGGATTGACTCAAGGTATACCTTTTCACTTTTTTGCTACACTATCCTGCAATTTTCATTATACTTCCATTCATGACGAGAAATAGTCCTGATTCAAGAATCACACATCAAAGATATTAAATCCATGTATCAATAAATGAACTGACGCATGAATTATGGTCATATTTAATTTCTGAATACACTTAATAATCAAATTATGCTTCCCTCAAAAATTAAATAAAGCTTTTTTAGAACAACTGTATATCATGTCCTTATTGTCAGACAAAAAACAAACATCCACTTCTGAGAACTCTAATTGTAACCAGAGGTAATTACATCATGCAGCAGTTCAAAAAGACACCGTATTAAGTGATAAACGTTAATAAAAAGTAACATTCATAGGATGACGGATTCACAGTTGCTTGAGACAACGAAATAATATGATGTGCAGTAGATTGAGAAATATGTAAAGGAAAGACGACAGGCAATAGATCTAATTGCAGACGAGCAAAGAGTTCTCCGAAACGCAAGCCCAAGATTGATTGGTCACTAAGGTTTAACACCATTGTCATGTGCCTAGTCCTTGGGTGGACTTGATGGAGACTGAGTTCCATCAGTCAAGTTTGCAATGTGGTCGGTCATCAAGCTAGATTCGCCATCACTATGCACTCTGAATTGATGTTAGCTGGTTGGTGTCAATCGACGCGGAACACGAGTTTCTTGCTGATGAGTGCCGACAAGCGCGAAACCTAGGTCTAAGTTTTCCCACTAATTGCATCCAAGTATTTATACATGTAAACCATAACAATAACAACAATGGTAAAAACATTTTCAGGTCATTATACACCAACAAAAAATGCCAACATTCGCATGATTTAATAGGAATGCTACATTAAGACTTCCTTAAGTTGATCACATATTGATATCAGTTAGAGAACCATTGAAAACGAGGGAGTACTGGACAGCTATTTCATCCTAGTTTCGGGAATCATCGGCAGTATGCACCTACTGGGGTTCGAACCCAGGACCTTCCGGTTACAAGGCAAGCTCGTATACCATTCAGCCACTGGGACCCGATTCAAAGGCTCATAAATTCTAACTTCAATGGTTCTCTAACTGATATGAATCCGTGATCAACTCGTAAAAACAAAACTAACCCTTACAAACCAAACTTTAGAAAACTTCCTTAAATATTTATTTCCACAATACGAACATGATCAGTCTAAATTAACAACCAGTAACAACGCTGGTTGTCAGGAGATACAGTTATATCAGTCATGGGGAATTCAAACAAGAGATAACTTTATGTTAAAGCTTGAACTAAAGATGTCTACAAAAAGACAACGAAAGCTTCACGATTAAATCAACCAGCTCTGAGAACATACAAACAAATACAAAAATGAGTTTTACATCATAGACAATTTTGACTAGGTCTCCACTAAATGTGTAAGGCAGCTGTGATAGTTTTAGCTAACCGTATTGATTACTAATTTAATGTTTACCTTATATTAATCATTAAGTTTAAACAAATATAAGAATGAGTTTTACTCGACACATAACTTGGACACAATTCCAATATAGACAATATAACAGCGACTCTCACAGACAGACAGACATGCATGCACACGCACACATCTATGACTAATTCATTCATAAATACATTTTAATCAAATAAATTAAGAATTAGTCACAGTTGAAAGTATGACGACCACACCCATATATATTTTTATTTGGTAGCAGTCCACATACGCAAGTGAGAGGCACGGGTGAGTAATTAATTAGATGTTCAAATCGAAGACGAACAAGTTAAATATATTCAGCAATGAAAACAAAGCAAACAATTACAGCTGGGTGGCCAAATATTAGCCATGAAGGGATTATAAGTGGAGCGTTTACTTATATCTTACTGACAAGTTTAATCCAAAAAGTAAGCAGTAAGTGAAAGAAGGGTTATATAAATGAAGCCAGACTGACTGCTTCTGTCTAGGATATTTCGTATTTAACTAACTGGGCAGGAAATTCATGCTATGACTGGTAAACACTTAAATCTTGAAAGAATACACACCCCCTCAAATACTGCTAAATTGTTTAAGCAAAGTCAGAAGTTAATTTTCTTCCGACTAACTACTCAAATTTTGGTAGGTGAAGTGTGACTCCAGAAAAGGGATTACTGAAAAATCCGTTAACTTTCTACTTATATAAGTCTCAGCTGTTACAATATTTGCTCCTTACTGACCTGTAGTAACATTAATTTGTCACCCTGCCGCATCTGTTTCAGTCTGAGAAATGGAGTAGTATCGTCAGCCCTCACACGATAAATGTAGTACATAGCCTGGCACATGAATGACCAGTCCCGGGGTAACTGAGTTCAACAGCACCGTACACTTATCAACACGACTACTGAGAAATAAAGCATAGATAATAATGAAAAAATATGAGGAAATTATAGGTTTCAGAAACAATATATGAGAGAGAGAATCATCCCGGTGAGGTATTTCATAGCAAGACTACTGTCATGATAATACTGAAAGATTGGGAATTTCATTGGACACCAGTTACTTGTGTAATGTGTTTAGTCCCTCCTTTGGCGCAGACCGAATTCTATCAGTCAGGTTTGCGATGTGGCCACCACCATTCTAGGTAACTCGCCATCACGGTGCACATTGATTTGATGATATTAGATAGTTGGAGACAATCGGCCACAGGAAGCCTTGGACCTAGGTTTCGTGCCAGTTGGCACTCGTCAGCAAGGCATATCTGCAGTGAAAATACCCACTACAGTACTACAGGAGGTCAATTGAGAGCCAAAATAGGTCAGTGGTAACAGCTCTGATGGCAGCACTGGGTGACGCGGGTTCGTATCTCAGAAGGGACATGAATTCCTTCAAGGTTGCAGATACTCCTTGCTGACTGGTGAGTGCTTACTAGCACGAAACCTAGGTCCAAGGCTTCCTGTGACCGATTGCGTCCAACTATCTAGTATCATCAGATTGGAAATTTCATTCGTCATACAAATAGTACTCATACGAATCCCTATACCACACCTAACGGCTCAACATCAAGAATGGTCAAGGACAGATGTCTGGAGCTCTTGTAAAAGTAAGTACACGACACTCTGACAATGCAAGATATGTACCATATCAATACTAGACAGTTTCATAACTACTTTCCAGGAAATTAAGATTTATATTGACATAACAGGAGAGAAAAAACATCTAGGCCTTTCAGATACAGCTCTGACTGACTGAGTTTCAACATAGAACTTTGCACAGAAGTGCAGTCCTTAAAGTTGTCACATTTCACATAATACACAAAGGTAGAAAAAAAGAGACTCCAGAGAGCTATAATGAGCACATATGTGAGGCAGAAAAAACAGCAACATGGAGAAACATGTGGGATTAATGCATATGACAAATCATAAGGAGTGAATGCATCTGTGCCAATGAGAAGGATTCTAAGCTGCATCCAGCAACAGTCCTCTAACCATTGGGTCTTAGCATCCCCAGGACTCCAACCAGACAGTCTACACCTCCCTACGTGACTGACTCCAACCAACTGTCAGACACTTCATGGACTGATTTCACGCTTTCGTTTGAACAGTCCTAATCCTACGTCAGCTAACATTATTCGTCGGGAAAACCGATACCTCAGGATGAGCAACACGTGTCCTAGCCATCTTAACCTATATAGCTTTACAACCTAACCGATTAACTGACTCTCCTTAGCTAACACTACACCTAACCTCAATAGTGCTTACCATATTATACCTATTACCACCGGAGATAGAAGGCAGGCATTTGCAGTCAAAGACGACTAGCCTTTCCACAACTTCCGCTTCCGATGGGTATATTTCATTTTTGTGATTTCCTATAACAACATTATATGCAGACAAACAGAAATATTTAAGCACTGCTCAAGCATATATTAATTTTCAATCACTTTTGTTAATGTCTTCACATCAAGAGAAATCAAAAAAAAGAATGAAGTGAAAGTCAATACACTAATATAAGTAACACTTGTAAGTGCGACAGCCCTATTATCTTTCCTTATTACTAAATGAACTTTATACATATATATATTGATTGTTTATACACTCATAAACGCATTAAAATCAGCATTACTGCTAGTAATGAAAATCGTTATGTAAGAAGATATTTTCAGATTGTATTTTTTTACTGGCGTTAATATATGTAAATTTTAAGGAGATGAGAGAGCACAAAATAATAGTTTATTTATTAGTAGTGAATGAGTGAGTGTAAGGAAGGCGATAGTAAATTCAGACAAATGAACTTATATAAAAGAAAAGTTAATCAATCGCGTAATTTATGTTTTCATTTGTTGAATAACACATAAACGCAGTTAGAGGAATTCAAATCAGAACAACAAAAGAAGTGCACATTTAAAATCTAAATGAAAGATGATTTTGCTGGTCTGTATATTGCTGAGAAATCAATCATGAGTACATAGATTCTGTGTGCGGAATTCCGGTTTAGGAATTAGCTGTGATTCTAGTCGGTAAAATAGATAAATATTACAAGTTAACTTCAACAAGACTCGCCTAAGTACTGGACTGGTGAACCTTAAGATCATTCAATGTAGAGTAGGGAGTAAGTTGAACAGTCACACCTCTTAATCCATGTCTAACTTGGAATAACTGATCTATTAAAGTAGAACTTAGCACAAAAGTGCATCAATTCAAGTTGCCATATTTACGAAAAGTACACATGAAAGGAGTGCAAACAAATGCAATAAAACTATGACGAATGAATACATACAGGAGAGGTATTAATCGGATGAACATTTGTGAACAATTTTGCAACCTAGGGGATCACACAGAATATATACACCCATGTCACATCCCAAAAAGCCTAGTCTAGCAGTTTGCACTATCCGCGTGGTTCAAACCAGCAGTCAAGCTTTGTGGATTGATGCTATACCACATTTATACTTTTCTCTAGCCACGGTTTTTCATAGAGGAAATCAGTGGCCCACTCAATTGGTGTAGCTTAACAACTCGGTCACTTGACTCATCCTCTTTATTTAACAACACTGTTGGACATATTGTTCTAAATAATACGAGAATGAACTGGGATACCCATGATTAAGAAACTAATCTTTCCATACCTTTTGTGTTCAGCAGTAAAATATCACAACGAAAATCACCGAACATTAGGCAGACTCGATAGGAAACTGGATATAATTCCTACGCCAAAGACAAGGTAACTTGGCAAATATCAGCAAGCTCTACGTATGTATGCAGACATTTTGGTCAGCAATTCATCCATTAGAGATTATGCAAATCCTCAAATAAGTGAAGTGCTCAGGAGCGGGTGGAGATCAGATCTATAGCAGTCTTACAATTGACAGAGGTGAACTAAACATACTTGGATGTTTGATTAGGGTGTTCAAAAAACCTGTATATTATAAGCGTCTCTATTTAAGTACTCTACATCAACGAAACTTTATCCTGGAAACAAGTCAACCATCTAACCGTCAAAGCTGACCAGGATCATATCCACTCTTACAGCTATAATGAAATAAAGTTAAATAATATACTAACAGTAAGCCAACAGGATTCGGGAGGAACGAACAACACGCTACTAGGTTGTAGGTAGAATAAAGGACGATAAGTTGAAGATAAAGAATACCAAGACACAAACTTATTAAGAATGAATAACTTGTTTCGAATATTGCGTCAAGCAAGTATCCGAGTAATCCCTTTAGTTTGGATACTGTTTGGCTGGGAATACTAAACAACTCTGAAACCCCGTTATGCACTATGAGTACACTCACAACAAAGGCTGTTTCAACATATCTATGAAGGCAGTTAGGTGAAATAATAGCTAAATATATCAATGGGGTAGAAAAAAATACGTTTCACACACCTAAAGAGCGAGACCACATGCAAACAATGAATAAAGTTGGTAAGATATGACTAAAATGATACCTGTTGATCCACTTGTATACATAATCACAGCCAAATCCGAAGGCTTGACCCGATCTGACGCAGGAGGCATCCACAAACCTTCATAGCCATTCAAAGAATGATTGTTATCACCTGCAGTTGGCGAAGCGCCGTTCGCTTTCTGCTTCTCTTTTTCTTTCATGATCACAGCAGCACCCAAGCGTTCTACTTCAATAATATCGTGTAAATGCAAGTTTGGTGGGCATTTTGTTAATGCTTCAGCAATACTAGCTGTAGCACTTCCTGTCGGTACAGCCATATTATCAACTTCTGTATAAAGCTCCCGATTGAAGATTCCATTTGTGAAATAGACAACGCGTTGAATTGAAGGACATCTTTGGACAATTTTAATCACTTTAGACAGGAGTTCATCACTTGTAAATACGACTACAGCCTGTTATTATCAAAATGAGATTGAAATAGGGTATTATACAAGAACTAAATCAAACACTATATTTTGTATTAACATACTAATATTAGGCATAGTACAAAATAAGAATGTTTTTGTTAAGTTTCTGCACAGTTAAACATAATACAAATAAACAATACGCTTGAGGCTAAATGACTATAATTTCCAATATTTTCAAAAACCAGTAAATCGAAAAATATACACTCTTCTATGTATTTAATTCAGTCCTTTTCAATAAAAATTATTCCGAAAAATATTGTAAATAGCAACAAAATAGTTAAACGTCAAATCGAACAATCGAGAGTGAGTGTACTATTCACAAGTGACTGACCATAAACTGAATCTATTTATAAAGCACGTCAGGGTATCAGCGTGAATGAATGGGGGGATATAACTAATGTGCATTAAAATTGAGATTTACAACACTTACAGAGGGTAGGAAAAATTATTTGCTACAGTTTTGCAAGTATACAACGATTGCTTATGTTTAGGAGCTTTTCTCGTCCCATAATGTGCACAGACGGCCACAAATTGGATCATCTGTTAAAAGTTATAATTTCCGTTAATATTTGTATCTTAGGTTGTGAATAGGCGTTGCTAAGTGAAAGCAGCGTGAAGGCAATAAGTAAAAGTAGTAGTAGGATGCTCTGCAGTCGCTGCACAATGTGAAACCCTAAGAACGGCATCGGTTGAAAATTAATATTATTCTACAATTCACATTTGCTTTACTAGCTAATCAGACAGTAGAGAAAAAATTTAAAACGTCAAATTTAATTAGTAAAGTAGTGCTATCTTTTCAGATTCTAACTATGTTGAGTGGTAATAGGCAGTCCCACTGTTTACACCTGACCGCGTCCAATTCACTTACAAGTTATATTTACTTATTTCTTAACCATTAAATCGACAGTAATCCACGACCACATTTTCAGGAAGATGAGAAATTAAGTTTTGGACAATCGTATTACTTATAGTAACCAGTTTGTTGGAGCAATCAAATCAAATTAAATCATACCTTTAAGTTCTGAATGGAACATAGCACTTCAACAGCACATCACCGCATCAACCTGTTCTCTTTAACTGGCTCCGAGATTGTCTATAAACTGTCGTTTTTTTCCAACAAGATCTCTTCCATGTCACCCTCGGACCAACGCTCAACTTGTCAACTCTCATTCGGGTTCCACCCAAGGGACTAGAGTGAGATATTACTCAACGGGCTCCTCAGCGTGTCCTATACACCTTCATTGCCTTCAGCATATCCTTTGACAACTGTTTATTGGTTGGCTAGTTGCCAAAGTTCCTTGTTCTGAATTCTTTCTTACCAGTCATCTGACTTTCAGTATGGAAACATCTAAGGCAGCTGTTGATAAAAATGTGAAACCTGTAGGGAATATTTTTGGTGATGCATTAAATCTCTGAACCATTTAGAAATGACTTAACGGTTCAGAGTACAATTATCGAGAATTTCTTCCCCCGTTTTCTTGTTGATACGCTCTAGATTTTATGTAGTTTTAGGGGATACACTGTGTAGAACAGCATTTATTACCACTGTTTGAGTGGAATAAAACGAAACCCACCTAAATTAAAGTAGTACATTAGCAGAGATTTGCCAGTTAACAACGGTTTCGTGTACGATATTATAATAAATACTCCACCAGGAAGTATTTTTTAAAATGCACAAGTGTTAGGTTTCTGTAACAAATGAAGCAGACGGCGAATAAAGAAATCGATGTTTACTAAATAGTGCTAGATTTAATAAGACGCTTCACAACGAGTACTTAGTGACGCTAATTTATATATGATCTGAGATTATGATCTATTTTGAAGTGAAAAATAATGGTATAAATATTCAATGATGAAATCAGATCACACTAAATACAAGATATTATGATTTCAACTCTTAACTGACCTGTGTTTCATTGAATCCATGCACTAATGCGTCCTCACCCAGTGTGGCATACAAAGTAGCAACAGGTCTATTGAGACGGAAGCAGGCCTGCGCAGCGAACATCCACTCCGCTCTTGTTTCACTGAACATTGCAATTGGTTGATTACTTTCTCTGACGGACCCCAACATTGAATACAAACCTGCTGCTAAATTAGACACACGACGTTCAGCGTCCCAAAATGTTTCCCAAGAATATTCACCCAAAGTCAATTCAATCATTTGTCGTCCATCAGGAGAAGTCTAGTGTAGGATAATATTTGAGAGCAGAAAATTAAATGATAAATGTATAAACAACACTAGCGTTTTAAACTTTAGTTCTTGTTTAGCTGAGCTTTAACTTCTGGTGCGAATATATCATCAGGAAACTAATCTGTCCTTGTAAACAGTAAATTCCAAGCAGCAGAATATTATGATAATCGAACCACTAGAAACTCACGTCCTGAACTTAGGATATATATATATATATATACAAAGCTATTGCAGGTGCGTATGTAAGCAAAGAGAAAATATAGATACATAGACCGAAGAGAGGAAACATTTTAGGCAAAGGATTACCAGAATGATCAGGATGAAAAACTGCACATGGACACAATCTATGAGTGACAGATACGAACTGCGTGTATTCCCGCTGCAATGCAAGTATGAGATATAAGGATTTAGAGTACAAACACATGAGCATTTATATACGGAAATGATCATACGCCAGAGAGAACTCCCAACTATTTTACAACGTCTCGATCTACACCTCCAAGATACGATGGATTTATTACGTTGTAATATATAAAAGCTCACACCGGCATAAATCCAAAAGTGCTGGAGGATTTCATAAAAAGGTAGCATAAGAAAAAGCTCAGATCACAGTCAGAGACTTGAGTAGGATAACTTTAATTGACATGTTTGTTTTGTCTTCCGCGCATAGTGGTTACGCGTAGTGTTAGGTAAGGAAAGCTGTACGACGAGGTTGTGAAGCTGCACAGATTAAGATGGCTACGACACACCATCGTACCAGATACTAACCATGTAAATACGTTGGAAGCAAACAAAGTCTATTTCTGTTGGCATAGGTTAGCCATACTAGTCTTTTAGGTGATGAGGCAAGTTCCCAACTAGAGTAACTTAATTAGGGGAAATTTTTTCACAACTACAACTTTCAGAGTTTACACATGCATACACACTTACCTTGTAGTCTGTATTCAGAACAGCTCTTGTGCCAAAAGCAGGCAGGTCAGGCCACAATTTTACTGTGCGAAGCCATATGTCAACTAGATCTTTACATCCAGGTAATCCAGTTGTCAGGCCATCAAGTGCTTCAACTGCTCTCCACGGTGAACCAGGATCACCATCCCGTACAGGCAATGCCAGAGTACGACTTTCCTCTTCATTATAAGTCCAATCGCTTTCAACAGGTGAATTTGGGAGCGGCATGTACCTCAAAGTCTTGCTGAATAGATAGTACAGTGGCCAAGTGAGATATTCATATGCATAAACCACCAATTTTATTATTTCGATCCCTATAGGAACAAAGATCTTTGCAGCACACCTCATAGTTCTCCAAGAAAAAAACTACTGAGTTTCTGTAGAGCAAACTTTGAATACGCGGGGTATACAGAAGTGCAGTGTTGATTGAACGACCTTAACACATAAATGTTAGTTCGAAATTAAATGGTACTCTTCCTGCTTAATCCTTCATAAACCTCTCAGCGGCTGCATCTCAGTTCCTATACACGCTGTCTGGATACTGGCATGCCTACTCATCTTTTCTGCTTTGACTACTGCTCGAGTACAGCTTCCGAGTGAAAATTTTTGCTCAAAATGACGCACTGAATCTATCCTAAAGACCTTACTGCTTGGCACCGTGAGACCATAAGGTAAAGTCCATGTCCATAGCTTCATGGCAAGTTTACAACTCAGAAATCTTTCTTTGCTTCTTAAGTTGTACTTCACGTTCCCAGCATATGAATAAATTAATCATATCAAATTTAAATGCCTATTTGCTAGTTCTCATCCGGATGCTTAAGGCATCCAAAATTCAATGACCCATCTTATCCAGGGGGCTTCTAGTCCATTACTCACTTCCTCTATGGTAATTAGTACGAATACTATGTCCCTGGCTTAGTTTTCACTATCCAGATAAACTGAATAACTTTCTCCAAAAATGAATCTGAACTTTATTCTAACACAGTGTATTACTACTGGCGTCATGCTTCTAGATGATTTTATCCTCCAATATTGTGTTTCAGCAATGGTGCCTGAGTGCCGGGTAAGCTGCTGCTTAAGAAAACAACAGTGCCGGTCCACTTTATTTCAACTTATCGTATGTAACTGAATCACAAAAAATATAGGTCTTGAAGGTGGCGACTAGTGTTTGTCAGGGTTTTAGTGGTTCTCTTGTGTAGCCACCGTTTGCGAACAGGTGACTTTTCCATATTTTTATTGGCTTGCTTAATGATATATGGTCTTACTACTTTTCAACGATTTAGGCCGAAGACTATCAGTCTTCAGCCCGGCATCTACATCCTTAGCTCTCATATAGAAGAAAAAGGCACCTTGCTATGTACTTGATAATTTCTATAGAAAAATGTGTCAGAACTAACCATTATGGATTCCCCGGAAAAATGATCTCGGAGAAATCAACCGTGCTGAGCAAGTTAACACTGAAGGCTGACGATGTCAATCAACTAATACACTCAAATGCATTGCATTAAAAAGCAAAGACGTTTACAGGGAGATGCAAAGGGAAGAAAACAATCTTCCAGCTCACTTGTCTCAACTATCAACTACCAATTCTTTTGCCTGTTCTAAGTGGATCAGCCTACAGATGAATGGGCTTTCAAAGAAGAGCAACATGGCTACTACGTCGTGTTGTTAGCGTGTATCTAAATAATCTCTTCTTAGCTGTGAACGACAGTCGATGTTATAATCTCCCTTCACTAGTTGGGGCGGTTTTAAGTGAAGCCTGCTCACCAGGTTAAGTGGGTCGGGCTAAAAGGTCAGTATATGCCTGAGGTCACGTCTACCAGGATGAATGACCACAGAAAAATCATGAGCATTATTTCAAGCAGAAGTCACGCATCCACCGTGATTGACTGGTTTCCTGAAACCGGTGAGCCAAAAGTGACTTCTGTTAACTCACACCATCCATATTCAAAATCATCAACCAATACTCACCGTCTTTCTACCTGTCAGCAACGTCTCCTTAACCGATAATGCCCAGCTCTTGCTACGCTGGTAATCACACTGTTCCTTGAAGTTTCTCAGAAACGCTTGGTACGAACGGACGCAAATCCAAAACACCGAATGGCGACTCGAGAATTATTTATTCTAACACCAACATATAGCCAATGTACAACTTAGCATTACAACTAAGGTCTATGAACAAATATTACAATAATAAATCACAATATTACTTCTGACGGTTGTCTCCTGACTTCTTTCTGAACAGCGAACGATGAGACGATGACTGGTGTATTGATGCCTCCGCGAAAACTGGGGAAGTTGGTTTAGAGCAAACAACCACGAATTGACCGTTCAATCTTCAACTGCATTGACACTCCCCCGCAACAAACCGATCCATCCCTTTTTTCCATCACGACCAAAACACGTTGACATGGATGCCATTGCGAGAACCTGGGTCACACGGACAGAGATGAAATGGAAAACAAACAGAAAAGCCAACAGACCACAAGCATACCCACAGCACAATCTCACACATCGATGACGACTTGCGCCTCCAGATAAAGGTATCCTCTTGACACATCCTCTTGCAACACAATCTCCACTTGCTAGAATGACTCTTGCAGAATGCAACGTGACCATAGCAGCACCTCATGATACTCTACGCACATCCTCTTATCTACTCACTACCAATTACCACTGGAATCGCTTGTCACTCATTCTGCCTCAGTTCTAGTAACGGCGACGTATGCAAGCCTCAGTCGTCCACACTCTTGCTCTCCGGCGTGTGGGACCACAGCCTAAATAGAAACATTCGCTCTCAACCAGTGATTCCACAGCTAATCCTTATCTCCGTGGGGATGTCATTCTCAGTAATGGCCACCCCGGCGTAAACGACCCATCTCCTGTCTGTAACATCAATCAATTCATTCACGGATGTGGAAGACTAGAAACAACTTCAGAAGTAATCACGACGAAAATTTTAACAAAATTACGCAATAACAACAAGGTACGAAAACAGCGAGTAAACACAATGAATCCAAAAAACACCAATTGATATGATACACCACACGTATATACAAACAGTACAAATAAACTCGCGGATCATGTCTCGATGTAATTCCTTTGAAGAATCGCAGGACTTACACCAGTACGCCTACAACCCTTCTCAGGTTGACGATTGTAAGTTGTGGAATGTCCGGACACAATCAAGACTAACTAACAATTACAATAATTGGAGCTCACACAATTATTCAACACAAACATATGTACAATCAACACATCAAATGTTGTGGATTCTGGCACGACAAACTACCCTTGAAGAACTGTAGAACTTACAGCAGTACGCCTACATTCCTACTCAGGTTGATGATACAAGTGGAAGACGTCCGGACACAAACAAAATTACCAACAGACAGATGACAGATGATACCAATTCAGTATATACAACATGAACATATGTACAAAATAACACTCTAAGGTCGTTGGGCTGCTCACTGTTGCACTACCCATTGGAGAATCGCAGGACTTACAGAAGTACGCCTACAACCCTTGTCGGGTTGACACCCCAGGTTGGAAAATCGTCGAAGAGTTCATTTGTTGACTTCCTTCTATTAGCCATATCCTCAAATCTGAACGGAAACACGCCCATGTCATTGTATCGTAGAATATAGATGACGAACAAAGACCCAACATATCTGATCAACCAAGCGTAGGCACAGAGTAATTTATACCAAAGATAATAGCATTCAACTAGTAACTTGAAACTAGAAATGCCTTTATTCATGTAGTCAATTTAACAATTAGCCCCTCGTACACACTTGGCTTATCCTCACTAAACTGAGCAATATCTTTCGTCCTTTCAAATGCACCAATTCTGTCAAAGTCATTGCACAAGATACTTGAGTTCATGGGCGTCCTTCTCATTGTGGATGACAACACCAACGACGACTGATTGATACCAGTTGATGAACTTAGCGGTGGGTCAAAGGTTGTTGTTGTTCGGCTTTCAGAAAGTTGTCTAACTGCAAGACTACCACCACTGCCGTCATATGCTATCAGCTCAGGTTTAGCACTAGCATCTGATGATAGGTGGGCTACTCGCTGATCAATTAAACTGATGGTCTAACAAGTATGCATGCCTGGTGCAACTGCATTTATTTCTACTTCACCTTTCAGCTGTACAGAACCTTTGTTCAACTTAGCAGTAGTTGGCATTCCCCTCATTTCATCTTGATCAGCCAAAGACAAATATGCACTTTCATGATCATTATCACATATATTCAGGTTACCATCATCTATCTGGTCGACTTCATCATTTTCAAACTCTTTAATAACAGCAGTGGATGATTTTGGTTCCTCGTCACAAATCCCTAAAGATTTTATACCTTTACTCTGACTAGTAATACCTTATAAACTTGTGGAGTCAGAACTGCACTCTGAAGCAGTAACTCTATTGAAGGATGGAGGGTGGCGCTAGCTGATCAGTAGATATGGTGGTGGTCACTAAGGTGAATCACTCCATTCTGCAGGAACAGCAATATGCAATTTGAGGGCTCGAGATATTTCTGATTTTCATGAGGGCTTAGATCTTTATCTTGAAAAAGATAATAATGAACGCCTTGACAGATCATGCTTCTACCTTTAAATATATACCATCCGCTCAGCCTATTGTTGAGATGCGACCATGCGGGATCTGCACAGATTTATGGGGAATCTTATAAGTTAACTTGCTATCCATTGTCAGATCTTTAAATACCACTTCACAATATCTTGTCTCACTTATTTTCTAATAACGTCTTTACTTGATCCTCATTATATTCCATTAAACCTAACATTTTATAGCTCTTTATGAATTTGATTCGACTTATTCTATTCCTTTTCTCTGGAGGGAACGGTTGTGCACCAAATAAAAAGGCATGAAATAAAAACAACTGGCTTGAAAATAATTGTATTAAAACCAAAAGTGGACATAATGACAGTATGAAATATATTGGTTTTATTATACATTGCAAATGAAAGTTGTTGGCCTAAGGATTATTTACTTCCCCATTCGGTTTTCTATATAAATGTGTTTATCAATGATATATTTCATTCACTTAATATATTACACTTTAATGTTTCACCTTAGCACTTTAACTTTTCTAAAACAGCTTCCAATCCCTTGTAAACGTTGTACTTACCTCAATAATGGTTGGTTATCGTATGCCTACAACCACGAGATGAAAACGAAACGAAGTCGATTTTCCCGCTCAACCTGGAGAACAACTGTACAATTCAATAACTATGCGGCCTGGTTCAGACAATGAGTGTAATTATATATATGTATCAAATATCTAACTGTTGTAATACTATTATCTTGTAGACAATTTAAGATTTGACATTATAACATACTTCATCGTGCCTGTAAAAATAGCATGCAATTTCATGTAAATATATGTTTATATGCAAATAAAATTATTATTCTAATTATTCTCTGACACTCTATTCAACAACGGCTTACCAGTTGCAACT